ATGAGACTTAACTAGGAGCTGGGATCTTTGGTCCTCAGCACTGCTTCCACTGCTCATGAGCTCTATGGCCAAGACTACTTTGCTCTGCAGGTCTTTGCCTGTGGAGGGAGGGAGGAAGGGGGGCTCCTGAGGACCTGGCACAGCAGCATCCTCAGGAGAAGCTTTGGGATGAGGCTCCAAGGCTGAGCACCAGCGATGCCTCCACACTGCACCAGCACATCACACTCTGGTGGTGCTTGCTCTGTGGGGAGATGGTGGGAACGGAGAACAGCAAAATAAGAGCTGAGAATAAAATCCTCCATAGAAACAGACAACAGCATTGGCCTTGGCCTGGTGAGGTGAGTCCCGGGAGATCAAAGCTGTTTAATGAGAGAGCATGGAGAAAGCATCAAACAAACAGCTCAATTTCCCTGCAGTGTTTCCACTGCTGCTGCCTGTAACTTATGGTGGTTAGTTATAGGCTATAATAAGTTTTCCTTATGCAGGCAAAGTCCCATTGGGCTTTTTGGGTGCTTATGTAATAGCAGCTAAGTGATTTGGTCTCTTCCAAGCAGAAGACGGTATCTGTACTTACCGTCCATCACTCCTGATGCAGGCTGGAGCCTGCAGTGAACAGTGAACACACTGGTCTGTGTTCCTGCTGGAGCTTCCCCCTCCTGCCTGACATCAAAACCAAAGGGAACTTCATGCATGGGAAGGGAAAGAAGCTTCTGTTCCCCTTTCACCTCCTTGGCCTGCTTTGCCCAAGCCCAGGATTCCCATCGAGCTCTTCAGACTTGCAGCATCCTTGAAGCCCCTTTTACACTTTCAACAGCCCCCAGCAATGGGTCAAATCAGAGCTTTGCCTTTTAATGCAAGATTCTTCTCTGGTTGATTTATAGTTTCTAGAAGGTTCATTGATCCTGATTTTAACCTCCCAGTGCTTGGAAAACCGACATAAATCATATCAATTGCAGAAGAGGAAAACACAAGTTTATTTGACATAACTCAGGCTGCGGCATTCCTTTAGGAGAACCTCAGGATCATTATATCAATTAAATCAGTGTATGTATTACACCAGAGCAGGCTCTTTTTCTGCTTGCTGGCTGCACAATTTTGATCCAATACTCTGGGTTCTGGAATGAAAATAAGCAGTTTCCAGTTTCCTGAGTCCTAAACCTTTCATCCACCCCTCCTGCCATCACGCCTGCTGTGGTTGAGCATCACTGGTGGCTTTTTGGTACCTTTGGCATGGGAAGATCTGAGAAGTTGCTTCTGGTGTGCCTAAGTTTTTGAGACAGCCTGGAAAACCTCTGCATCGCTTGGGCAAAGACAAGTGGTTCCCTGCAATGTTTCCTGAAGGGCATTCCCAAGACTGCCGTCCTAAACCAAACATAATCCTTACTTGTGAATCTCCGTCAACTGCAAACAAGTTGCTTGTGCAGCTAAATCCCCTTCCTAAACTCGGGAGGGCACCACTGCCAGTCTGGCCTGGAAGAGCATCCTTGAGGAGGTGTCTGAGGTGGGTAAGAAAGCTTCAAACCAGAAGCAGCTTTCCCCAAGTCCCATCCCCAACCTTGTATTGAAAAGGGCTGATTTTGCTGCTGGCAGCAGGAGCATTCTTACACCCAAAGAAAGAGGCAGAGTGAGCTCCTGAGCAGCCCTACAGTGAAGATCTTGTAAGGTAAGAATGTGGGAGAGAGGCAGGCACTTGTGTCAGATGGAAGGTGTCTGATGGTGACCTTTAGAAACAGGTATTTATACAGGGGCCTATATTTTGCCTTTTGCACCTGTGTCTGTGCCTTCGTTTCCCCTCTCTGGATCTGCTCCTGGCTTTCCTGCTGGTTTAAAATAAAAGTATAATCTAGTTACAATCCTCCCTTACGGCCATTAAGCGCTCCTCTGAGAAAGGCTATTATCTCTGCTTGGCTGGCAGAGGATTCCGAGCCACCTAAGGCTTTAACTCCTGCTTCCCTGTGCAGCACAGCATCCCACTCCCCAGGCTGCTAGGGATGAGGGAAACTTGGCGTTGCTGCCTTTCCACGCAGCCAAGAACTGGGAGACCTCGGGGATCTCTCCTGTTCCCTTTTCCAGGCTTTGTCCCATTGCTGCTGGGAGCAGAGGGGCTGCAAACCTGCAGTGCTCCAGGGAGAATGCTCCACATGGGGAAGTAAAAATGTAGCTTTTTCCTGTACAATCCAATTCCACCGAGTACAACTATAACACAACCAAGTGAGGGAACCACTTATTCCACCACCATGTGCGCCATGGGATGAATCAGTTCCTTCCACTCAGCATCAGTGGCTACTGGGACATTTTGGACCAGCTTTGAATCCATGGGTGCTGCCAGAGGAAACCAACTGAGGTTTAGAAAGCCAGAGCCCCTCCAGCTTTCTCGGAGGGATGCGAGCCTGAAAACAGGCTTTTCCCTCAAGCACATCCCAACGTGCCTCGGGGGAAATGACATTAAGATCCTCATTGTTTCCTTTGCTGGACAATTCCTGATCATTATTATTTGGGACAGACTCCCCAGGTTTTAAATGATTCTGTCTCAAGTAGCTGCTGGCATTTGTTACATGTCATGCGATGTTCCTGGTAATTAATTGGCATTTAATTAATTAAGGGATAATGGCATTCAATTAAGGGATGCTTGTGGAACACTGTCACTGGGTAATGAATGGCTTCCTGCTGCTCAAGCAAAGCCGAGGCATTTGTGGAAAATAAATAGATGTGAGAAGCTGAGATGTTTATTCCCTTGGCAGGAGACAGCGCTGGCTGTGTCCTGGTGACCTCTGCTTCTCCTGAACCTCCACTGACACACGCTCACAGCTGCACGACCTTGCAGCACCAGGTACCCATCCACACCCCTTCAGCTGGCAGCAAACACCATGCGCAGTCGCTGGCAAGAGTCAGTGCACAGACAGTGAGCACCTGGTGTTTCCAGCATCACACAGCAGGTCAATGGAAGGAACACGAGCTGATTTAATCACAGGTTAGGGCTGGAAAGGACCTTAAGATCATCCAGTTCCAACCCCCTGCCATGGGCAGGGACACCTCACACTAAACCAGGGCACCCAAGGCTCTGTCCAACCTGGCTTTGAACACTGCCAGGGATGGAGCATTCACAGCTTCCTTGAGCAACCCATTCCAGTGCCTCACCACCCTCACAGTAAAGAACTTCTTCCTTATATCCAATCTAAACTTTCCCTGTTTAAGTTTTAACCCATTACCCCTTGTCCTAGCACTACAGTCCCTGATGAAGAGTCCCTCCTCAGCATCGTAGCCCCCTTCAGATCCTGTGCCCAGGGCTCTGCTCAGGGTGAGTCTGGGTCTGCACCTGACGTGTGTGAACTTGAGACTGCTCTCAGTGATGCCAAAGGAGCAAAGTACCTGGGGTAAAATGGGCCTTGTGTCTATCAATCAGCACAGGAAACCCCCTGAATTTCCTGGGACATGGAGATAGATGTAAATAGATTCCCCAAACCAAACAGCACATTGCACCGGTTTGAATAAAGGACAAATATTGAAGGATAAACAGGAACAAGTCACTTCAGCAGCTGTTCCTGGCTGGCTGGAAACACTCTGTGGCGCTGAATGAGCCCTGTATGTGATGGGTACAAACATACCAGGGTCTGAACTCCTCTGGGCCCTGTTAGCACAGCACTCCTGCTGCTCCCGGAGAGCAGAGCACCTTCCAAGAAGGGTGATAGCCACGTCTGCCACCGTGGCTCTTGGCTTCCCACCCATCTATTCAGCTGGTGGCCACTGGGGTTCCCAGATGCTTTTAAAACCCAGTTACCCCCCCCCCCCGAAGGCAAAGCCCTCAGGGCAAGGACACAGCCTTTCCCTCCCTCTCAGGGCCCAAGCAGTGGTGGTGCCTTTCGGTTGCTGTTTACCAGGCTGGCTGCTGTTGCCCCGCAGCCTGGCCAACCACAGAGCTCATTTGTGTTGGCTGGTGCCCAGCTTAGGAGCAGTTCATTTATCTTCTCCTGTGCCAACCGGCTCTCCCATGGGCAAATTCTGCTGCTGCTCGTGTTCACAACCAGAGCAGTGACCTGCGGGAGTGATGGTGCCATCAAAGGGCTCCGGGAAGGAGCGATGGGTGCCCACAGGGAGCTCCAGGAAGGATGCAGAAGGACCTCCAAGGGCTTTGGTCAGCGGCAAGCCTCCGCATCTTCCCAAAAGCCTCCTCATCTTCCCAAAATCCAGTGCACCCCTGATACCAAGGAATCACTCTCAGGGCAGGGTTGGTGCTTCTGTAGCTGGAGGCAGTGTGAGAGCCTGCCTGGATCACGCCTTTGAGTGGGAGAAGCTGTGACCCCCCCCCAAGGCACAGGTCCTGGGGAGAAGAGGCTGAGATGGGGCTGCCTCCCATTGCCCCATCTCTGCAGGGGTGGTTGGCAGCTTGCTGTAGCACCAGCAATGTCTCCTGCAGCTTTCTACTGCAGTGCCTCCAGAGCAGCTCTGGACAGGCCCCACATCTGATGGGCTCTGGCTCAGCCCCATCCTGCACAGTTTTGTTCTTATGAGCTCCATGTCTGTCCGCTGGGAACTGGAGGTCCTGTGCAGGGGGTGATGTGGTTTTACTCCCCTTCATAAAGCCTTTTGCTGGCTGTAAGCTCTGCCCGTGTTATGTCGCACTGCTTTGGCTCTCCATGTTCTTATAAACACTTCTCCAGTGTTTAGGAGGAAGGAAGAAGAATGTGGATCCGGTCTCCCCGTCTGCTCCTGAGGAGCCAGGCAATCCAGGAACCCTGAATGTCTGAACCACTTGTACAGTCTGGAGCAGCTGAGTTCAAACATCTGCATCAATGGGGCAAGGAATTCATTTTCAACACCAACTATAATTTATTATTTGAAACTAGGAAACGTCATTGTCATAAATGTGGGAACTTCTGCTGGACGGAAGCTCTGGCTCCGAGCATTCACCATGGACCTTCCTTCTTTTTCCAAGTCCCTCCACCCACACATATGCCACATAGGATAGATACCATGCAACCCTCCCGATGGCCATGGTGAGGAGAACTCTGTACCCTTGTCTGATGGATGGGCTTGATGAGCACCCCACACTCCTCATTTCGGGACTGCGGACACCTCCTCCTGCTACCCAGGGATGCTGGTGGAGACCCTCAGCACGCCAGAGGGCTCACAGCTGGTATTTCTTTAGCAGCTCGCTCTGCCACTGCCGCTTCTTGTTTGGGAAGGCGACAGGGATCTTGATCTTGCGGAAGTCCTCGATGCATTTGCCCAGCTCGGTCTCCATCGCCCGCCGCTCCTCACCCACCACCACCACGGCAGGGCTGACCTCCACCCCGTTCTCCTTCACTGATGTGTGGTCACTGTTTGCCCTCTGCCCCGTCTGCTTCACCTCCTCCAGCTTCTTCAGGGACTTGGAGAGGTCCAGGGTGTTGGGACGGGCTGGGCTCTCCTCGGGGGCTTCTGGCCATGGCAAGGAGTCTGTGGGGCTGGGATCCCTCCCCTCCGACCTGCCTGCGAGGGTGTCATCAGTGGCCGGAGCTGGGATGGACTCCCCACGGCTGCTCATGCTGGAGGTTGCAAAGTCATCCCCACCGCTGGGGCTTGATGGGTCCTGCCTCGTCTCGTGGCTTTGCTTCATCTCCTCTGGGTCACCATGGGCTGGGGAAGGAAAGCAGAGAGCTGTGTGAGGAGCAGGAGCATGACCAGCCCCTTGTGATGGGAACACCTCGAACAAGGCTGGATGCAGCCACACTGGGGTGCAGGTAGCTGGGCTCAGTTGGGCATGGGGCAGTTAGAGCTGGGACCCTGCTGGGTGATCTTGGTCACCACATTGGTGAGCTCTGCCCCAAGCCTTGGGGTGGGTTTGGGTGCTCCATCAAAGGTTAAGGGCTTCCTGTGGCCTGGGGCTTGGTCTGCAGTGGTGCAGAGGGATGCTGAGCTCAGGAACCGTCCGAACCAGAGGGGATGCAGGGAAATGAAAGAAGAAATGGCCCAGCCTCCTGCAGAGCTTGGGCTTGTTAACAGCAGTGGCTAACAAGCAGTGATTCTGCATGGGGAATAGCCATTCCCTCTCAATTACCAGCTGCTAGGAAAATCAGTCAGGGGGAAAAGTCAATGGGAACTGCTAAGGAAGCATTAAGAGAGGCCTAAATGTGCACAGAGCAGCTTATGCACCTACAGCTGAACCCAGGGAGTGTTTGCTAATACCCGTGCTTAGCATGGACAAGGCGGCAAGAGGGATCTTGTCCATCCAACCTTTCCCACACATCCTTCCTCATCCCTGATGCCACCACCTCTGGTGCTATCCCAACAGTGACTGTCACACAGCAGGGCAAGCCCCTGCTCCGCAGCTGGCAGAGACCAGAGGCATTGTCAAATGCTGCTGGTTTAGCAGAGATTTGGTTTGGAAGTGGTTGGTTTATGTTTGCTTCTTTGTTTTCCCTTGAAGTTCCTGTGTTTCTAAATACCTTTGGCAGAAGCACAAACCTTCCTGCTCTTTGAAAGCTCTGGGACAAGGGGGGTTTCTTGTCCTTGTTTTCATTTACATGGCTGGTTTTTGGGTCACATCAGACACACGGGGACTTTCTCCCCCTCATGATAACAAGATCTGTTTTTCTGAGCAGTGATATCAACCTAGCAGCAGTTTTCACGGCTCCCTCTCAAAGCACCTGAAAGAAACCCTCTTGTTGCACAGCTTTAACCCAAGTAGTGCCTCCTATTTGCTGCTCTGGAGGTTTTCACTCATAGCATCCATCTGCCTTTCAGTTTCCAACCCTCCACCTATACCCTGGGGCCATACATCTACCCTTGCATTAAAGATGCTCTGGATGTCACAGTAAATGTGGATTGGGAAATGCTGTTTGGCTGTTTATAGGAAGTGATTGCCACCGAGATGTGAATTATCCTCCCCCTTTCCCCCTTGTAGTTTTTCATGTAGGACTTTACTCAAGGGAGCACACAGGGCTCAGCAGATGCCTCTAGTAGCCAACATTTAGGCAGTTGATAAGCATTACCCATTAATGCATGTGTCCCACAATACCAGCAACCAGTGCTGCAACATCTGCCCTGGCCAGATGTGCTCTAGCCTTTGCTATTAGCACACAAAAGGGAGTTTGAGTTCTGATCAAAAGTATAGATCTACTATAGGAAGAGAGGCCATCCTGGTGAGAGCCTCCCCTTGCTTCTCCCTGGGGGAGATTTCCTTGTCCCTTTTCCCTCATGGTTTGTTCTTCTTCTTTCCACTGCTCCATTTCCCAAGACCAAAGAGCTCTGAAAACAAAGGATTTTGTCTTACATGGCCTGCTGGGATTTTGTAGAGCACATCTAATAGCAGGGGTACAAAGCATTCAGGGCATAAAGTATTCCTATTTTAAATTCCTCACCCTACACTTTGCCCACCATGGAAGCAGGAAGTATCAAGGTGGATTTTCTTTTGCCTTGAAAACTTTCTGTAAGGACAGAGTTTTCCCTCCTCCTTTTTCTTCCTCTTCTTGTCTTCATTTGACATTTACTTGAGCAGCTCCAGCACTGAAATCGCTAGAGGTGGAATGGGGAAATGTCACCTGTCACTGAGCAGGAACCCTGAAGGCTGGATTTTCTCTGGCAAATCTCCCCAGGAAGCTACAAGGATGTATCTTTGCCCCAAATTCTTTGAGTGATGGAATAAAGTCTCCAAGTTCTTATATTGCTTTAATCACCTTATCTGCAAGCCTCACTGCTGCATTCATGAGCAGGGAGCTGAGGCATGGGGAGCATAAGCAGATGCATCCAAATTCATCCAAAGAGCCTATGGTTTAGATGGATGCAGAATTCAAATCTCTTCAGTTCTTCTCTAGCATCATTTAGACCCTCCAAGGGCTGTAGCTGCTGCATTTGTTTTTCCCTCAAGCTTTCAATACATTTTACATCACATTATTCCCACTTGAAGCACAGAGAAGTGCAATAACTCATTAAGGTCGTCAAGCTGAGAACAAAACCAGGTCTCCTGGGTCCATCTTCTATGCATTCCATACCAGACCATACTGATTTCCTTGGCAAGGGTGGCTGCAACCTGCAACCTCCATAATGTTGAAGTCTCTCTGTTCTTGCTTTTTTCCATTGCCTCTGGATCTATCTGAGACATCTGGTGAGCTGCTGAGCTTGGGGAGAGCAGCACAACGGTGTAGACCCCACTGAAGAGCACAGGTTTGCTAAGACATTATTTCTTTGCTTTGAAAGCACTGAGAAGGTGATGCTCAGGCCATTCCTGTGCCTCTCCAGCGCAGTGTTCCCTGGGTTAGTGCACAGCTTGGTCCAGCTCTTTTACAGGCAGCAGCAGTGTAAAATCCTGCTCCTTTAGGTATGATGAGGCAGTTTAGACATCTCTAGGTAGCTGAGGGACTTTACGTAAAGGACCTAGTGAGCCTTGATGTCTTCTCTTTGGGAATATTCATTAATTGGCCATGACATTTACTTACTTCTATCTCATTCACCAAGGGCAGGTTATCCCAGCCTGCTCTGCTGGCTCTCAGACTAATATCTGTAGAAGTCATTTTGCACTCATTGGGAAATGCAGAGCTCAGCAGGTATTTAGTTGCTCCCCATACAGTGCTGAAACACGTGGTTGCTCCTGGCCAGGCATGTAATGGTTAGACCTGATGATGTTAAAGGTCTTTTCCAACCTGTTGGTTCTATGGTTCTATCCCAGCCCATGAGTTCACTTGCACAGGCACATGTGTTTCCAAACAGCAAAAGACTGGAGCAGGGGGGCAAAAGCAATGTGGATTTGCACTGGTTTTCTGAGGAAAGTCAGCTCCACCTTGGAACTTGCAGGATCCAAAACCACGCAGTTGCCAAGGGGTGGATGTTCCTCTTGGCCACTCTTCTCCATTGGCCTCCAGTATACCCCATGACTGGTACAAGAAACTTAGGTTGAGGAAACTGCGCTTAACCCTGTCTGCAAGACCAGAGCTTTTCTGACCCCAGCTATTGGGAGGACTGTATCTTTTCTTTCTCTGTGCTAGTGATTTTGAGAGTGTGGGCATCACTTTGGCTACAGTTTGGCCTGGACCAAACCTGACACTGAATGCCCTGGCTGCTGGGTCTTCCAGGGTACTTTCTTGCCATTTATCTTCCCTGTAGCTTTGAACAGATAACTTCAATTTCCCCCAGTCTAAGCTTCCCTTCCACTGATGTGTCCCTCTGTGGGGCCAGCCTGTGGCTGGCAACGTGGGGTATAGCTCCTAAGATGATCCCAAGACACCTTACAACTCTTCTTCACAGTGCACCTCACAGCTACTGAGCTGGGAAAGGAGATCTGCTCCATAGTCTGCTTTTCTCACCATATTTTTCATTCGCTCAGACTTTGTGATGCTTTTGTCTGCTTCAGAGCATCAATTAAGGAGCAGAAGTGCCACTTCCGATGCAGCCCCATGGTGCTGATAGACGTCGTGCTGAGTGCAATTACCAGGCTCCTGCACTGGTGAGCTGGTGCTTTGCAGGGAAGCACACACTGTCCCAGCCCCTCGCTGCTGTTTGGGATACAATTTGCTCTTCCCAGAGTGTTTGACAGGGCAGGCTCGGGTGGTGGGTTTGCTTCTCTGTGTGCTTCCAGATGAAGGCGCTTGCTGTAAGGTCCTGACACGCACAGGTCATTCCTGGGGCGCTTCCCCAGCCCAACGGGGGATCTTCAGCTCAGACTGCGTGAGCCTCAAGGATTGATTTTCCTTTTCCACCGTTTGCTGCAGAAACCCCAGATTCCCCCAAACAGGAAATGAAATGAAACTCCTCTTTTTTGCATTCTGTGAGATCACACCAGGCAGCCAAGCTATGAGCAAGAGCTGGGCATCAGAGGGGAAGCCCCCCAAGGTAGAAGCAGAGTTCTGTGCCTCTGAGGCTGCTTCTATTCCATGCCTTGATTTCAACAGCTCTTTTCTGTCCAGTTTTTAAATGAAAATCCAGCAACAGCACATCCCTGGGAGTCAAACTCAGCTCTTTTGCAAGCTTATTAAACTCCTTTCCAGCCTCTTAACTTAGGGCGTTGTGGCACAAAGATGAGTGAAATCAAGAGCTGGAAGAACAGGTTTAGTCCCTGTATGTGTGTGTGTGTGAAGGGGGAAAGGACTCAAACTGTTCCCTTCAACCGAAGTTTGCTTGCCCTGAATACCCCACATGAATTCTTTGTCTAAAATGTTTCTCATTAATTCTTACTTGAGAGCCTGATAGTGATGGGGAGCTTAGGCTGTGCCCAGAAATGAGATGCTGATGGAAAAGATTGCATATATTATATGTGATAAAGACATTAAGAACAGTTTGGGAAGGGTACAAATGGTGGCAATAGGCTCACAAACATCACCCTTTCACCTTCAGTGGGGATGAAGGTCACAACTTCACCTCTTACAAGGATGCTTATCTTGCAGGGTCATGGTGTGTGCATGGGCAATGTGGCTGCAGGAAACAAAATACCCTCAAGAGCGGTCATCTGTATGAAATAAGTGTTTTCTGTGTGCTTGTGAATGTATTCACACAGTGCAGGTATAGGTGCAATGTGGAAACGAATCCATCCTGCTAACGTGTGCAAGGAGAAGCGCAGCAGCTCAGAGCTCTGCGGGACTGTGCATATGAATGCTGTGTAATCCAGACCTCTTTTGCATGCGGATCAGTGTGTCTGTCACTCAGGAGTGACAGATGGGTATCTAACTCAAGCCACAGTTTGTTATACATGACTTCTGTCAGCACCATTTGGAGATGGTGTTTCTGCAGTTAATTCCGGACCGAGCCCCTGCCGTGATCTAAATCAGCGCTCGCCACTCTCTAAACCCCTCGGTGATCGGTGACACGATATCCATCAGCAGGCTAATTGCTGTTCTGAGTTCATCCCGTCATGGGTTTAATCTCTAACTTCCTCCTTATTTCCTCTCCTACCCAGACCTGGCAGGAGCTGGCACTGCCCCAGCAAGGCGAGCTGTCCCTGCCTGCTGAGGAAGAGGAGTGTGCCTGCTGGAGCCTGGGGCTGTCACTGCCTGCTCTCTGACTGCCTTCATCCCGCAGCTATGGCTAGGACTCAAATCAACCCCTGGGAAACTGTGGATGTTTCCCAAATGCATCTATTTTGTTTCTGTTTTGGAAGGATATGAGCTCTGCTGTCAGCTTTCAACTACGTTTCTTGCTCAGTGTGGGTCTGTGAAGTTCTTTTCTCCTTGATCATAAGTGGTGGATATTTGCCCAAGTGATAATGTCACCGGTTAGTTTAGCATCTGCACTGATCTGCTTCAGTTCTGGCTGAGCTCCCAGGCGAGGTGCGACAAGAAGCAGCGAATCCCCCCTCTCCAAGTGTCCCCCAACTCTCACTGCCCTCTCTGGCACAGGTAAGCAGAGGTTTTGTTTACCCCTGAGGCTGGGATGTCCCAGGTCCTTGCTGGAGGACCCTCTTTGGAGGAACTGTGAGATGCCTCCTAAAGTATGTCCAGCTGAGGGGTGGTGAACATGCACGTGATGGATAGCAGCTTCATTGGACCAAGACTCTGCATGACTGCTCCATTTGGATGTGCTTTCCAAGCGCAATGACTCCAGCTTTATGGCAGGGATGGGAATTATAACACATTTCATTTTGGCAAAGCAGAATGAGAGGTCAAAGCCCGGTGACAGCACAGAGCCAGGCCCTTGGATGTCGTAAGCTGCAGGAACTGAAGCCAAAGGAGCCGTGCTGACTTACATCAGCACAGCATCTGGCCTAGGGGAGACATTTCAATACTGTGTGAGCCAGAAGCAGCTTTCACCAGGCAGTTCTTGTGGAGCCCGTCAATTTGGGTAAGACCTGCCTATTTCTTGTTAGGAGATAGTGATCAATACTGCGTATGGCAAACTCTTGTCAAGAGATACTGCTCTGCCAACAGGCACAGCTCCTGCCCAGCTTCAGCTGCATCCTGGCTTGGAAATACTTATTATCCTCACTCTAGTAACCATAAAAATACTTCAGCATGTACTTAAAAGGAGGGTCAATTTGCTCCTGGCAGTCACTGGCAGGCTCTGTAGGTCTGTACTCTTCTCAAGCCATCCATTTCTATCCAGGATGAATTTGTCCCCAGCCACAGAAGGCCATCATTCCACATATCTCTAAGGTAGGATGATGGTATTCTGCTTGCATGCACAGCTTTGGGAAGATTATATAGAAAATAAAATGTGCAGATGAAAAAATGAAGCACAGAACTTGTTTGGCATTGATATTTGGGGGAGAAAAGAGATTCTTGGCTTCTTCTGGTCATTGGCTGTAACATGAAAGGACATTAAGTCTTATATGGTTAGAAGCCCCAGAAATGAATGCCTGCAGGTTGAGTTTCTGCTTCACTGGGTTCCTCTAAAGGAGCAAATGAAAGGCAGGTGAATGCAGCAAAGCAGCAGGTCCCCACTCGGGGATTTGCATCCTCATGTCTCTCATTGGGAAATTCCAACAAATAGGTAGTTTTACTTTCTCCAGTGTTGGGAAACAGCAGAGGTTGCCTTGGGGCTTCTCAGGAAGAGGCCAAGGGTGCTCGTGTGTGAGTGGGACATCAGTGATCACTTGCCATCCTGGGTTTAAACTTGTAACTTAATAAATAAACAGCAAGAAGACAACAGCACAGGTACATGTGGGGAGAGGGGTGACTTGGGGGGCCCACCTTGCCCAGCACTGGTGTGACTGGAGGCAGCCAGGACAGCGTGTTTCTCACCTGGAAGCGCTTCTGCCATGTCTGCCTTGAGATCCAGGATGGGCTCAGATGAAGACATGGGTTTTTTGGGGCTGTGCTCCGGTTCCAAAGGCTGGGCAATGGGCAGGCTGAGCCAGGAGCTACCTAAAACAATGAAGACCCAAGGAATTAAATCTTAGAAGGCAAGTGATGCACAGCGAGTGTGAGAAGGGGCCAGGGTGGTGTGTGATGGCCACACTCCACAGAGGCTAAAGCACCTCCCAGAGCTGCTGTTCATCTTCTGGGCAGGTATCTCCCAAACCCACAAGCTATCAAACAGCTGATGACAAGATTTAGACCAGAGCATTGGCTTTTCACCTCTGAGAGGGTGGCTTCATGGGCTGCTTTGGGAACAAAGCCCTTTCCAAGAGCTGGACCACTGCTTGACCACTGACCCAGCAGCAAAGGGGAGGTTTCTCCATGGACAAGTGCTGGGTAAACCCCTTCATGCACAAAGAGCAGTGCAGCCACTTCTGCTCTTGCAGAGGGAGAAGCGTTTGGGCAAGGTCACCCGGATGTGACACACAACCCAGACGCTCCCCACCTCACCATGGCCAGCAAGGGGTGAAACTGGATGCCCCAGCCTCCAGAGGACCAGTGGATGGGCATCTTTCTATGGCCTGTGGTGGCCAGAAGCCAAGACATGAGGGGACTTCCCCACGGACGACCTGACCTCCAGGATCCAGCACTCAGGGGCCACATCCAGAAGCTTGCATCCAGGAGAGGGCAGCAGAATCCCAGCACGCTCCGTGCCTATCGGCGCCGTCATCGGCTGTGATTTCTGAGAGCTCGTCCCCAAGCTCTAAACATGGGCTTCTACTTCCTATACCAATAAACTCTGGCAGAGTCTCTGTGGTCACTGTCAGTCAGTGCAGCTATAAAGGGCTCTGATTCATGCCCCAGAGCAGCTATTTTTGCAGAAGGACTCTGTGCAGTCCCAAATTGAGGTCTGGAGGAGGACAGCTGAGACAAATTCAATGCCATGGGGCCCTTGTAAACCCGTCTGGGAGCTGGGGTGAACAGGGCAGAACTCAGCCACCCGTCAGACCTGTCCCCTCTCTCCTGTGGTCACAGATGCCCTTGATCACAGGGCACAGGGAGCAGCAGCCGTCACCTCCACATGGGACAAGGGAACATGGTTTTAAATCAAGCTCCTGGCACACAAGTAGAGGAGGAAAGAGGGGTTGGTGGAATAAGAACTGCAGCTCCATTTGAATGGCTGAGGTTTCCCAGGTAGCTTCCAAACATCCCAACATTCAGCAGCCCTTCAACAGGGGCCAAGCCCCTGGGTTACTGCCTCCACGTGCTGCCGTGCAGCAGATGAGGGTGGCTGTGCAAGCCAGTGCTTATGAAAGATTTAAAAGGCAAGCTGTCAGCACTGCTGCTAAAGATGGGCTTTTCCTCTTATAGCTCGATCCCTCTCTAATACTAATAGGATTGGGAGGAGGAGGAGGATCCAGCTGAGGGTGAGGGGTTTTTCCTTGCACACCTTGGGGGAACCTTTCTAGCAGCGTGTTCCAGCACCCTCCTTGGTCCTGTGGGGTTTTGGGTCAGTCCCTGAGGCTCTGCAAGGGGACATGGTGCAGCCCAGGAGCACAGCTCTGTGCTCTGGATGTCCTCCACCAGAAGAACTGCATTAATCCCTATTTGGTTCAAAATTCCAGCTGGGAATGGCTGGAGTTTCCATTTTTGCAAGGGCTTTTTGGACTCAGGAGCCTGGATTTGGACCAGGCTGGAAGAAACACAAAGAGTTTCAATCTCCTCTGCAAAGGAAGAGGCTAAAATCAAAACCCAGGCCAGCGGGACTTCTTGAGCTCTTAAACTTTCCTTTTTAGTGATGCATCTGACAAAAACCAGCTCAAAAGGTATTTTGCCATGATATAAACAGCTTGAACCTGATTTCCTTCTAAATCTGAGCAAAACTCAGTGAGTTTCAGGATACAGTAAAGGTTAAATCTATGGTAACTGTTTCATCCCAGTGTTTCTTCCCAGCTCTACTCCCTGTTTCACTCTCTCATTCTCCCCTTTGGTTAAATTAATGATTAACTCACGTGAGTTGATGTTGAAGGACACCATGGAAATAGGTTTTCTAATTGCTGGGAGCAAGGGTGAAGCAGCAAACCCCACGTTTCCTTCTCAAACAGGTTGAGTGTTAGTCTGCAAGGAGACAGCAGGGAGGACAACCAGCAAACCTCCACCCCGTGGCCCTGCATTGGGCTCCGGGTCCTTCAGGGGATCCCTCTGCTCTCCGCATCCTCCCTCTGACCTGCAGGATTGCTCCCATGTCCAAAATCACTCTGAACACTGCTCACACCCAGACCTGCCCCTGCTGCCCAGCAAGAGGTGCCATAACACCTCCATGGGGTGAAATTCCCAGCTGGGTGAGCCTGGATGAGGAATCACTGCAAGACAGCAGCATCCAGGACTTGACTCTCTGGTAGTGGGGAGAACCAAATGCTCATAATGCCCATGGTTCCACAGGGGTGCAGAAGCAAGGCTGAACTCACACCTCATGACAGATTAAAACCCAGTCTCATAATGATACCATACAACAGTGTCTTCGGAGCTTTTGTGATGCAGAGTGCTCCAGGCACATGAGGGATTACATGTGTTCGCAGCAATGACTTCAACACCATTAGCTCATCTTGTTCTTTAATCAATGCCATATGTGCAATGTATAGGCAGGCTGTATATCACATCCACTTGGTGGTTTGATTGGAAGTGGCGGCCTTGAAACCATGTTAAAGGCAGTTAAAGCCAGTGTAGTTCTTTTCCCTTTGGACATTGCAATTCATTTGTGCTCTTGGTCTTAATCCTGGGTTAAATCCTTCTTCAGTGAGGCAAAACAAGAATGGAGAGGAGGGGAGAGGAGATGGGAAAGGATGTGAGGTGTCCCTGCCCATGGCAGGGGGGTTGGAATTGGATGATCTTAAGGTCCTTTCCAACCCTCACTATTCTATGATTCTATGATGGGGAGGAAAGCCGGGAAATGAACTCTATGTTGGAATCAGCCAGAGCAGGGCTTGGGGAGATTCAGATCCTGGCTTCTCCATCTGGCAGGACTGGACCATGAGAGGCTCTTAGTGAAGAACCATGGATTTTCATTGGTCACCAGCCAGTCTCCTTCGACAAGGAGGGAAACAGCTCTAGCAAAAAAAAACAGAAGCTCCCCGCTGGTTTCACTGACACCATGTGAGGAGTAAGGACCCCAGAGCAGGGTCACCCCCTGGTGTCAAAAGCCTTGGGTCTGTCCATCCCATAGCGAGGGGGTCACTGCTTCCCCCACCTCACAGGCAGAGAAACAGAGCTCAGGGGGGCACCAAGACCTGGGCAGGGTTGAGAGGGACTGAAACATCACACCCTCCCTTCTGGAGCCGTACTTCCATACCGCCTCTTCCCAGAGCTCTTCTTCCTCCTCAAGGCACAGCTTCAGCCATAAACCTACAGGGTCCATTCCAGCAATAAGGAGATGGAAAGGACAGCGCTATCTTGGCTCAGCATCTCCACCTATCCAAGCTCCTTGCTGCCTCTGGGGAAAGCGGTTGAGCTTGTCTGACCTCCTGCTTCCTGCTAGAGCTGAGCCATGCTTTGCCCTGTTGTGTGGAAGACAGCTCCTCTCCCCACTGCTTCATGTTCTTTGGGCTCACCAGTTTGTAACAACACAAGTTCCTGCCCAGTGGAAGGTTCCTTCAAGAGCATCGAGGGAGCACTTGCATGGGAGTCAATGATGAGAGGTGGGGAAGGTGTTCCCTAGGTCACAGGGTATGAACATGCTGTTCGCAGTGATGGCTCCTTGGCAGCGCCTGCTGCACAAGAAGGGCTCCAGCTGCCTTTCTTTACCCAGGAATCTGCTTTCCTCCCGGTTTTCCAGGAGTCACGCTCAGAAAGCGGCTCCATCAGCATTTTCCATGGGGATGTGACTGCACTCGCTTCCTATCGGGATATTTTTGCCAAGCAGAAAATCCACAAAGTAATGACCTCGCAGGGAGATCGCAGGCAGGGCTGGAGAGTGCTGGGTTTGCTGACCAAGCTGGGAGTGTCAGGAAGGCAAAGGGAAAGCTGGGAATCATTGCAGCACTTAATGTGCTAGGAGGCAAAGCAAGCTGGAATCCTTTTGTCATGCCAAACCAAGCTATTATCGTTTTTTCCCCTCAATACCGAAAGGAAGACTTGATTTTGCTTTTGCTTAAGAAAAGCAAAGGGTTTAAACTCCCCACAGCAAGAAGGCTACACAGGAAGGGCACTGCCTTTCCATACAGAGCAGGAGGTGCTGGTACATGCAGCATGGACCCACATTTCCTCCACTCAAGCAGAGTCTCAGCTTCTGGGTGACAAGAAAGGGGCACATGGCCTCTTTTTATTCCTCCTTCCACAGATTCTTGCCCTATTTTGCAGAAATTGTGCCCAGTTTGACCCAGATCTGTGAGTACTTTGGGGTCAGGCAACACAGCAGTGTGCCCTGGTGTGTTCTGTGTGCAAAGCTCCTCTTCCTCTTGGAGACTCACACCAGACTTCATGGGTCCCCTTCTCTTCTGGTGTCAGTTTATGGAGCTGAGGTCTGCCAAAATCACTGCAGCTGCCTCAATTACATGAGCTGAAGCCCGTCCCAGTACACAGAGATGCATGAGGTAGACATTTGGGTCCAGCTGAGCCCCCCCATCCTTACGTGAGGGGTCTAGCACATATGTGCAAACAAATACCCCTTCCCCAGCCAGAGCAGTCAGCAGCAGTATGAGTATCTCTTCCCAGCAGTGAGCCACAGGGAGGTGAAGCAATTTGCAGAGAACCAAACCCATACAGCCTGCAGAGTCTGCCTCCCTCTGAAACTCTCTCCCACTTTTTGCACCTTTTCCTACTCAAAGAGAGTTTGAGGCCAAGCTATCCCTCATTAAAAAGTCTGCCAGAGTCTAATCCAGCCCTTGGAAGCTCCCTTCGATGTTACAGCTGCAGTTTTCCCTTTTCATTTCCTTTTTGGAATGCTAAGTCCTTTGGGCAATGACTATTTGTGGTTCTGGACTATGGCCTTTCCCGAAAGCTGAGGAATGTGCAGAATAAACCCTCCCTCTGCAGCTCTGAACACCAACCATTTATTAATGGAACCTCTTATTAAATGTCCCTGCTCATATATTAAAGGCTTGTATGGGAGGTGGTTGTCCCTCCTTCATGCCTCCTCTTCACCCCAATGGCCTTTTGAAGGGCTTAAACCCCAGGATTTGGGAAGACTTCACAGTCCCCGCTGGAATGTGTTGGTGCAGCCCCACTTCTGGCCTCAAACCCAGTTTATCTGACAAACACAAACTGGGTTTGTGTTTAAACCCTGTTTTGCTGCACCCATAGGACAGCTTGTCTGATGTCGTATGGGTGCAGTGAAAGGACTGAAGCCACTGAGGAGGCTGACATGGCCAGTGGGACCAAGCAGTTTGCTCTCATGATTCCACCTAGGAATCATGACTAACACAAAGCCAATACTGAATCTCAAATCCTCCAAATGCCTCCTTGTCCAGACAGACCTGAACCCACCTTCACCATCACCCTCACCCATCCCTGCCTTTCCCTAGGGCATCCCCTGTGGTGCTTTTACCTGGAAGGCTGCAGTGCCTGGAGAGCTGCCTGGAGAGTTGGCCTCGCACAGCAGGACCTAGAAACAAAGGAGAAGGTGTGGATCTGGCTCTGTGCTCCACCGTGATGGCTTTCTGCTGACCCATCTTCGTATGAGCACACACGTTTGGGTGGGATGCAAGGAAAGAGAAAGAGCTCTGTGGTCCCATCCCATGGTAAGTGACTTCCCTTGGATGTGCACCATGAGCCCAGCCTGGTTTTACAGTGCATGACATGTGGCCCTCATCCAAAATGTCTCTGGTAGGTACCTGCTGCACCCCTCCAGAGCATTTCACACCTTTCTGAAGTAGAGAATAAGCTGAGACCACTGTTAATCCTGGACAAAAATTCACCATCTCAAACCCATCTCACTGTTTCAGCTAGAGATGCCCTCACACGGGCAGAAACCGGCATGTTTCTGAAGGGAACAACTTTTCAGAGGTATCCTGTAGGTGCAGGGACAAGGCAATGGGCTTGTGGATCCCTTCGCATGGCAGGATGAGGATCTGGGAGCAGACCAGCCCTGCTGGGTTAGGATGTCTCCCTTGGTACTCTTTGTATCCCCATCCCTCTACTCTTGCTTGTTCCACCTGGAGGAGTGAAGGAGCTGCTCTCTTGCTCCTTGGAGGACTGGAGGATAGACCCTGGTTCTCATCTCTGAGCTGTAGGAGGGTAAAACCTGTTTTCTGCTTGCAGGGGAGGATGGGAAGGTCTGGAGGACAGCCCTGAATGCTTTCATTGTGGAATAATAGTGGGCTGAAACAAGACATCTTTTCCTCTCCGGTTTTAGCCGGTTGCTATTGAAAATCATCCCTAGAAACCCATTAATACAATGTGGGGAAACAGATTAAAAATGCCTTAATCTTGAAACAGCGTTTGAAAAGGGGAAATTAGCATATTTTGTTTAAAACCAGAAGGAAACACATTTTTCACATGCCAAAACCAGGGGGTTTCAGCACTATTTCCTGTACTTTCTGATGAATTTGCAACTAATCTTAATGAACCCCAAACCTGCATTTTTCAGCCTGTTTGCAGAGATACGTTGAAGAAGTGTAACTGCTTCTGGACATAGCAAGTAAATTGAAATAATAATTAAAGGCAGAATTACAAAGTACCTGTGTGCTTCTAATACAGAGGCGGAAAATCCTTTTGCCTTATAGTAAGTCAAACAAAGCAGTGGATAATGGAGAACAGTTACTACATTTTCCTGAGGTCTTTTTGATAAAGACCATCAAAGAGGCTTTTAAGGAAGCTCAATAGCCAGAGGGAGGTTGTTTAACTTTCACAGTGTATTAAAAGCTTATTAAGATAGAGAAAGGAAGAAATGGAATCAAGAGTTCATTCTCAGTGTATAAATAATGTAATAATAGGACATCCCCAAGAGTCCATATTGGGATGAAGGACTTTTGTTAATGATGCAAGGGGAAAAGAGCAAAGAGTCAAGTGGATAAAGTTTGCAGGGAATAGAACATAATATCAGGCTGGTGTAAGCTGCAAGGGGAGCAGGGGAAGGGACTTTAGTGAAGAGCCTGTCAGTGGGTTAAAGGAAATGGCAAGCACTGAAAAGCAATGCCCATTAGAAAATGTCACTTGAGCTTTTCATACACCTTGGTGGGTTTTAAATGTGCCCTTAGTGACTCAGGAGACAGACACAAAAGAGCAGCCCCTGTGTAATGATGAGGAGGTGAAGAAGTGCTCGCTTAGCAGGCAGAGGTGGCACAGGCAGCAGATTGCACTGGGTAAGGGCATAAAACCTCATAGAAAATATATAACATACCTTCATGGAATGGGGCAGTGCTCTAGGTTCAGTCCTGGCCACTTCTCAGGACAGGCAGATGAGATTAAAGTCTGCCCAAAGCCATTCAGTAACGCTGTGAAAAGCATAAAGGGAGTTTTACAATGAAGAGGATGAGATCAGGATAGTCAGAGCTTAAGAGGAAAGAATTAAGGAAGCTAATGGGAGCATTGCCATCATCCTATAACCATGTGCTTTTTTATGGAAAGCTCCCTTTAAGGAAGCCCTCCCTCCAAAATGAGTGTAGATAAGATTGAAGATGATAAGAGCCAGAAACCACAATGCTGCAGCGTATCGGGCATCACTCATGAGCAATGAGATATTCTCCTGGAGCGGGGCTAATGCAAACAAGACGAGGGGTTTCTTCCTCCTTGGTCTGAAATCTCTCTGCCAGGCACTGTCAAAGGCAGGACATGGAGCTGAACACATGCTCTGCCCATTCCTGCCTGATAAATCATCCCCTGATCTTGTTATCTAATGTAATAGTTTGCATTGTCAGTCCACACATGGTTCATTTCTAGATGGGGCAGGGCTCTTAATCCGCCTTGATTTATTCATTATTAAAGCGCTTTCCAGTTCTCCTTTAACATCATTCAGGTCTGATTTGATTACAGAATGTGTTCAGTGCTGAGTTCATGTTTATGAGAAGGAAGTGGTACAACCCGGAGGCATAGGGGAAGGAGGGGATGCCTGGAGAAGAGACAGGGCAGGTGATGGGTGGAAAGGCTCCAGTACCAGCATCACCACGAGCGGCCCAACCCTGCAGTCCAGCCTCTCCTGTTTCAACCCTTCCTCACATTTAGCAGGAGCAGGGGCAAGGCTGGGATGGTTTTTACCCCTGTTTGTGGAAGAATTAATCAGAAAATTGCAGCTTCCCCTGCAGGCTTTAAGGTTGGAGCTAAATCCCTTTAAATCAGAGTTGCTGATCTCCCATCCACCAATTATTTAAATGATGGCTTGATTTTTTATTTTGTTTGATTCTGGTCTTCAAAAGAAAAAAAAAAAGCCCTGGATCTTGGTGCAGATCAGATGTAAAATGGCATGAAGCATAAATCACAGCTTTGCTGGATTACATCTTGCCAGCTACACAGGTAGGTGAGGGCAGGCAGTGTCCTGCATGCAGGGAAAAGCCTGGTAAATACATCAGGGATTGCCAGGAGGAAAAGCAAGGGAAGGAAAACAAGCCTGTCACTATCTCTTCCATGTTAAAACTCACATCACGACTCATTTCAGTCGTGTTGTGGCAGGTGAAGGGCAAAAAGGTAGTGCTGGCCATAGGAGGGTACCTTTACCTTCAGATGGCCTGTTTTGGTGGGCCTATGGTGAGCCATAGCTTCTCAGGCACCAAGGGTATCATTTGGGTGCTTACAGTTGTGTGCTTGAGTCCTCCTCCCTCTCTTATATGGCAAGGTGTTAAATTTAGGTGCTGTGCATGTGCCTCACCCCAGCTCGTTTCCTTCAGGAAGCCAAAAGAGATGCCAGTTCAGATAAGGCCAGTTCAGATAAGGCAGAGATGTGAGCTGAGGAGACGACCTCCTATGCAGCAGCAGCAGCAGGGGGGTGTGCAGGTAGGTGCTGGCAGAGAAGAGGAAGAGGAAGTAATGTAAACCAGCAAGATCAGAGGTAAGGCTGAGGTGGAAATGTGGGAGCAGCAGCCCCTCCTGGGTCCCACTTGCAGGGCACCAGAGTGGTCTACCCCAGCAGCATGGTGGATGCTGGCAGAGAACATCCCTAAGTGCACCCATCAGCACTCGGTCTGGTGGGAAAGCATTTAAACTGCTGGACCTATTGCTTCTCCTCTGTCAGGACTTACACATGGCAGGACATTTATTCCAGGCTGGATTCAGTGACATCCTCTGTTAAAATACTGGAGATTCTTCTTGCCTTGGGATAAAAAGATCTGGTCCCTAGTTTTATGGCCCGGCATTTCGGGGGTCTGCCCAGGCAGTGAGAGTGGATGGATGGATGTATTAACCCTCCCTTTCTCAGCTCATAAACACAGTATCCTAGGGGATCATCTCTGATGGATGTTTGTCTAACCTTAAATCATCCAGGGAGAAGATACCAGTCCTCCCTAGGGACCTGCCCCACTGGGGCTGCACGTTACCACTGTAGCTGAGAGAAAACTTTTAGTAATGTCCAACCCAACCCTTCCCTAGTGAATTTGCTTTTATTCTGATCCTTTCTCCAGCACCCTTCCAGTACCACCGGTTAACATTTCCTATTCGAATGGTATTTTGCAGTTAAACTTTGCCTGATGATGGCCTGTTTGCACATCTTCTGCGCCTCAGACTAAACCAACCTTGCTTCTTTAACATTTCCTAATAAGCTGTGGTTACTGAACCTCATCTTGTTATTCGTGCTGCTCCTCTGGACTCCCTCCAGCTCTTCAACATCTTTCTTAACCTGTCATCCCAAAGCAGGCACGGTGTTCCAGTCCCGGCATCAGCAGGAGAGCTACATACCCCCACGTCAGCTCTCCCACGACCCAGGCTCCTGCAATCGCATCCTTATCTAACACACATCTTTGTGTGCAAAGACTCCCACTCTTTTGAACTTGTGCTCTTGAACCTCCCAGCTCAGAGCCACTGCCAACCCCAGCGCAACCACTGAAATACAAGGCTTAAATCCATGCAGAGGATGCTAAGCAGAGGGGACATCCCACTGTCATGCACAGGTCAGTGCTTACAGATGATGATGAGGGTTTGGGGGGGCTGGAAAGCCAGGACAATCTGGGACAACGTGAGGTTCACCCATGTGTTTCACATGGGTGCTCTCTCCCATCAGCAGAGCAGTAATGGGAATATCGACTACAGTCGCCCTGCAGAGCAGCTCCTGCGGTGCCACTCACTGTGTTTCCCTGCTCCAGCAGTGAGCTGCTGATAACAGCTCCAAGAGCAATTTAAGAGCTGGCTGAGCATCTGCTTTCCCCTGAGTTCATCTCAGTGATGTTTCTCAGCTCAGGAGAAGATCTGTGTGTTGTTCCCACCCTGCCTGCCCAGCCCAGTCAGATGCAGCCCTTTAGCAGGGCCTATTTTGGGGCAGGAAACCTCAGAGAGGCTGCTGGGGAGAAGTGGTGAAAAGTGTTTGCTCAGGGAATATTTGTGTCCGTAGGGCTGGGGTCAGGCTCTTGGGCTTAAGTTAACAGCTTGGGCTTTTATCCAGCTGTTTTGCTGCTCAGGTGGCTCCCATCTTGATGCCATGGCTGAAATGCCACTGGTGGGGATGGAAACGTGTTTTCAGCTGCACCCTTGGGATACCCAGGGTGAGGACCATGGAGCAGTGCAGAAACAAGGCAAACACTACCCTGGG